AAGAACCTTAAACTGAAGGAATTGGTACTAGTTTCTAAGCTTTAGTTAGTATATTTAACAGAGACAGAAAACTGTTCATAACACTCTCTTTTTCCTTAGTGAGTTGAGCAAAGGAATGAAGCATGTTCTCAGCTGATAAGTGAGGCTTATGGACAGCGGATGAGGCAGGCACTGCTTCTGTGTGGGAATCTGAATTTTCAGCATATCCGTGGTCACCTGAGGATCTTTTTTTTTGGGGTGGAGGGAGGGACTCTAGCAGATACAAATACATCTTTTCTAGAAAATAATACAAAGTATTACCCTATTCATAGTTAGGAGACATTTAAGAGAATTCTGTCTGTTTTGAACAGTACTTATTTATTCATTTCTCTCGGGGTGGTAGAAACCAGGACTGAGCCTATGTAGTGTCCAGATGACCACATGGTGATGTGACCTTTAATCCTCAAGGTCTTTATCTATTTATACCAGCATTGATAGAGATGCCACATACTTAACCATGCAGATTGTTGCCAAGTCTTCCCTTATTTTTGACCCTAAGTTCTCTTAAAGATCAACTTTCTCTCAACCACTCTTGCAGGAGCTCTCTCAGACTGTCTGCCCATACACAACACTCAACTGTTTTTATTCTATGGTCCTGCCACTACATTGGTAATGGGGCATTGATTCTGTTGTTCTTACATCCCTTACACTGATTTGGGGCTCTCATGTCCCCCTCTTTACTGAGATTCAATAGGAGAGAGGTAGTCACAGTGTATCAGGTTCTTTCTTCAAATCTGTAATAGGTAGTGATAATTTTAACTTCAAGTAACAAAAATCCCAATCAACAGTGGTTAAAACAATTAATTATCTCACACAACAAGAGCTCTGGAGATGCAGTTCAGTACTGGCGTAATAGCTTAACTATATGAACAAGAATTCATCTTCCTGACATATTTCCACTTCATTACCCTTAGCTGTTGGCTTTTGTCATTGTATCTGTCACTGTTGTGCTTCTCATGTTCACTAGATGACTGCCACACCTCCAAGTGTCAGTCACATCCATGGTTAAGATGGGAAAAAGGAGTAGCATCAATTATATTCTATTTTGTAGCAAAAGCTTTCTCAGAAGCCCCCCAGAAAATTTCCCTTACACCACATTGTCCAGAACTATACCATACATGCCAAGAACTATGTCTAGAATTAGCAAGTGAGACTATGTCTAGATTAGCAAGTATTTGGATTTCTATCATTTATAGTTGTATGGTGCAAGGAAATTGGGGGTTGAGAATGTTCTTGGGCTATCCAACTACCAATATCTGGCTTAAGAACTTGTGAGTATCTAAGTTCTCACTTTGCTTCTAACTGTCTTGATTCCCCATAATCCCACAAAATTTTATATAGTCTTTCTAGGACAGATACTGAGTTGGCTTATTCAATATCGATTTCCAATCATTTTTTTTCCCATTGCTTTCCTCTAATCTATAGGTTGAAGATATGTAAATGCTTGATTTCTCAACTTCTCTTGCTTTTAGGGGTGGTCATGTGACCTGGTTCTAGCCAGTCTGGTGTGTATGTGGCTCCCCCCCCCCCCCCCCGGCCCCTGCCAAAAGGGCAAACACTCACTAGAGAAACCTTTTTATCTTTGTCATTCTCCTCTTTTCCTGTGTGGAACATAGCCTTGATGCCTGGAGGTGCAGCCACCATCTTGAGGACAAAATAAGGACAACAAGATGATGGAACCAAAGAATGAATTTGGTACATAATAACACAGTGGAGCCACTGTATCAGATCTGAACAGCCTACCAATGAACTTTTCACATGAGACTAATATATCCCTACTTATTTAAGACAATGATAGAGTTTTCTGCTACTTGCAGCCAATGTAATCCTAACTTATATAAGTAAGAAATCATGTTTTTATATCATGTTGTTCTCCCAAATGTATTATCTTTGCCAGACCTTTCCCCATTCTCCTTAAAGGTCCCATTTTTCAAAATTGAAAAGCAAGAAAATAATTTCTTTTCTCTAATATTTTTATGTATCATAAAATGATGCCATATAGTTTATCAAAATGGGGAAGGGCTATATAAGGTACAAGGAATTACAGGGGGAAAAGCCTTGATAAATATTATGAAACGTATCTTACCATAGTTATAAGTACATAGAAACACATCCAAATTAGGCCAAGGCAGAAAGAGAATTTATTGGATGGCTGTAGGTATATCTCATGGATCTACGAATAAGAAGTATAGCTTGAACCTCACTGTGGACTAGAACCAGGAATTGGAAAGCTATTATGAATCAGTGCAATTGTTCTCCCCTCCCTCTCTGCACACATGATCTCTTATGGTCTGCTTTTTTCTTCTCTGTTGGCATTAGCTTTTCTGCTTCTCTGTGCACAAAGAAGAAATTAGTCCCTTCAGCCTACCAGTTCCAATGCAAACTAAGATTGAGTAACATCTCTTATTTTAAAGTTTTATATAGAAAGAATCTAATTGGTCCAACTTTGTTTGTGTGTCAATCTTTAACCCAATTAGTGACCATGGGATGGGGTCAAATGGCTTAGAAATTCTTAGGAGCAAAGGGAGAATATTCTTTTGAGAAGGGGCCATGGATGTGTGTGTGTGTGTGTGTGTGTCTGTGGCAGTGGTTGTTGGAGAAGAAATAATGGACATCTCTATGATTCTCCTGATATTCTCTTCTGCTGAAAGGTAAATCAAATTAATGATTTGATTTCTACAAACATAGATATTACTTGTTCCTCCCTTTATGTTATCTCTCAGAGAATGTCAGTGCCATTTATCTAGTTGCCCATGTCATAAACCTCTATGTAACCAATAAGCATCACAATAGCTAACATTTATTGAATATGTGTACTTTGTGATAGGTATTCTACATGCATTATTTTATTATTTATTTTCTACATGCATTATTTTAAATTTAACCTTGCAATAACCCTACAAGTAGGTATTATGTATTTTATAAGCAAACATTTCTCTTGGATTAATTACTACAATAACCTCCTATCTCCTTAACTCTGGTCACACGTCTCCCAACCATTTTTTTTTCCTGGTAATCAGTAGTATTTCTAAAACACAAATCTAATTATGTTATTTTCTCACTTTAAACCCTTCTGCGGTTCCCTTAGGATAAAGTCCAAATTCCTTTAAATGATATATAAAGTCTTTTATGATCTATGCACCCTTCATCTTTGCCAACTTCCATCCTCATCTCTCTGCACCATCCTGCTTACACTCTATCTGCAAGCCTTGAAGATCATTTGAAGTTCTTACCAGTTCATTTCTTACCTCTGCACAACAACCCTCTAGCCGTTCACACAGCTGATGCCTACACATTACCCACATTAAGGATTCAACTTAGATGTTACCCTATCCAGAAGCCTTCCCTGAATGATTTGGGTGCCCCTTCTTTGTAATTCTGTATCTCTCAGTGCTTTTTTCCTATGCGTATTTTACCATGCTGAACTGTCAATTAACTTATTCTGTCTCTCACACTGGTTGGTAAAGTCCTTGAATGGAGGGATTATATCTGTCTGGTTCAGGGTTGACAACCCTATGATTAGGGTAGTATTTGGTGCATAGTAGTTGCTCAGTAAATATTTGTTAAATAAATGTATCTTTATAAGTCTAGAAGAACTTGAAAAGCTACCTGGACAGAAACAGATATTCAGCATTTCTTGTTTAGTGAATGGATTATTCTGATAGTCATTCTCCTTATCCCTACTGTTTTGGTTTATAATTTATAAAAATTGAGGAGATAAAAATTGATAAAATTAACTGAGAAAACATATTGCAAAACAAGAAAGTGATAAGCCAAAGGAAGCAATAATGTGAGATTGGGGGAGAAAAAGCAAGGAACTGAATTTTTTTTCAGAGCTTATTTAATTAAATGTACTTGTTGGAAAAATCTAACCCTTACAAGAATTATTTGAGATTGAAATGTTATGCCTGTATTAAAGAAAAGAAAATTAAAGATCAGAGTAGAGCAAAACAAACTGAATGATTATACAACAAATTTTCTACAGATAAGAATAAATAAAAGAAATTAAAATCAACCTTAGAAAATATTATGGAGAATATGTGAGAGTAAGTCAACCTATACCCTAACTGATCCTTTTGCTGGGTCTGGGTTTCTGTATCAGCTTTCTAGCTTTCTCTTGTACAGCTACTTCCTTTGCTCTCATCTGCTTTGGATGTAGGAATACTTCATTCCTCATACCAAAATAAATTCCACCTTCTCCCTCAAGCTTTGTCTCACTTAACTTTCTTCTTGAGCGAAAGTTGCTTAATTAGACCTGCTTTCTGATTTAGCTATTTCTGATTATATATATTTATATATATACACACTAATAGTGTGTATATAAATATATATATATATATATTACACACTATTATTGTAGATCACGCGGGCGGGGTGGGGGGAAGATAAAATCCTTAACAGTGGGAATGGTTTTTTTTAAAGATTTTATTTATTTATTTATTTGAGAGAGAGAGAGAGAGAAACAGCATGAGAGGGGGAGGGTCAGAGGGAGAAGCAGGCTCCCCGCTGAGCCGGGAGCCCGATGTGGGACTCGATCCTAGGACTCCGGGATCATGACCTGAGCCGAAGGCAGTCGCTTAACCAACTGAGCCACCCAGGCACCCCAGTGGGAATGTTTAAGTTACCATATTCTGCGCAGTTGAGAACCTGGAGTCACTTTCAAATTCTACCATTTCCTACTTCTTTTCAGTCGGGTCAAGTTTCTAAACTTTAAGTCTCATTTCTTACCACTGAAAAGAGGATACTAGTAAGAGTCTCCTATCTACCTACCCGAGGATTTCTGTGAGGACCAAATGGATGAGGTATGTGAAAAACGCTTCACAAACATTTGGTTAAACTCTAAAATATTTGTACCTGGCTACGAACATGACTGCATTAACAAGTTGGGTTGCTCGGCTGAAGAAACTCAAAGGCGGCTCGTCTCTAGGGAGAGGAAGCCGAGCGTTACTACGTGACGTCATCACCCTACGACGGCCGCGACGGTTTCCGGGCTGGGCTTAAAGCCGTGTTCCGCGCTATGGGGTGTTGGCAGCGTTTGTTGATTTTTGGCGGGGTATCGCTTCGGGTTGGTGGCGGGGCCAGTGTCCCGCTTGGGGGAAGCCGAGTGTTGGTTTGTCGGCGCCAGGTTCGTGGTGCTGCTGGACAGGGGGAGGCGGAAGGGACGGAGATGCTGGGGCGGCAGGGCCGCAGGTGTCCCGGCATAACCTCTTGCCGAGGACTCGCCTCAGACCTTAACGGCCCCCCCCTACTCGGCGGCAAAGTGAGGCCCCAGTTGGCTGGACGTCCCCACTTTCCAAGCAGGCCCCCAGAAGGACCAGGCCGAGGCGTGGAGGGACATGAAACAGATGTCTAGAACATGGATGTGTGACTTGTGCATTGTTTTCTCTGTTAGTTTATTTAAAAAATAGGTTAAAAAGAAGGAAACGTGGAGGATTTAACTCCGTAAAGAGTTTATTTACTTTCCATTTTCAACGTCTGCGTATCTTGGCAGATAAATTTCAGCTTAAACAGTGTATTTCCACGGCTGTCATCAATAGCAGTAGGTAGATAGTACAAAAGACCTAACAAATGGAGATCAGCAGAATTAACCTAGAAAAGAAAGCCCTATTACAAACTCCGAATTTTTACTTTAACAGAATGATAATAGAGATGGCTTATTTTAAAACTTTTTTTTTTTTTTTTTTAAGTTATCTGGCGCTGACAGTGAGACCCTAAAACAAAGAAGAGCACAAATTATGTCCCGAGGACTTCCAAAGCAGAAACCAGTAGAAGGTGTAAAGCAAGTTATAGTTGTGGCTTCTGGAAAAGGTGGAGTTGGAAAGTCTACTACAGCAGGTATTATAAGATATTCTGATCTCAGTTAGGAATTTATGGCAACTGGCAAGTGCACAGGATTAAAATTATAGTTTTGATTTTTAAAGAGTTATTTGTGAAATTCCGTAGTGTCAGGAGTTGGTAGTGATTAGGAATTTAGATTAGCAGTTTGAAAAAACTAGGTACATAGCCAGGTCTTTGACTCCTTAACTGAGGAAAAGGTGGTCAGATTCCCCATCAGATCTTCAGTTTACTTAACTGTAAAATGGCAATGACGATAACCTTTTTCATAGGGTGGCCATGTAAATTAAATAAGCTAACCACTTAGCCCAGTGTCTCCTACATAGTAAGTGCTCAATATTTGGTTGCTGTTATTATTTTTTAAACGTTTAGTAACTTTAACACTAAATATTTGTTCTTTGATATTCTTTTCCAGTCTATCAATGTACATATAGCTACACCGTTGCAAAGAGACTTTTTACGTTATTGTGGCCTTTTTTATTTAACCATAATATAATTTTCAACATTCATAAAATCAGCATTGATAAATATTTGAAAATTTGTGAAGGTTTAACATTGTTTTAATTGTTTAAAATATCATCTATATATCTTTTATATTAATAATACTGGAGCAGAGAATTTGTTTTTGGTGGCTCTTTTTAATTGATTGTAGATTTCATTGTGACTGAAATGCTGCTTTCAGATTCATAGGAGACATGCCACCAGATATAAAAGAGTTACCATCCAAGACTAATAATCAGATAGTCCCCAAATTTTTCAAAAGAAATTTTCAAAAATTTTTAAATATTTATTTATTTATTTGAGAGAGAGAGAGAGAAAGAAAACGAGGAGGGGGAGGGGCAGAGGGAGAAGGAGAGAGAGTATCCTCGAGCAGATTCCCTGCTGAGCATGGAGCCTGATGCCAGACTCTGTCCCAGGGCCCTGAGGTCAGGACCCAAGCCAAAATCAAGAGCCTAACCAACTGAGCTACCCAGGCACCCCAGAAATTTCTTATTCCAGGTTAATAATGTAAAAGGGTAATGACTTCTTCCAATCCTGAACAACAGAAGTAACTTATATTATTAATTTGGAGTCATAAAACACCCCCCCCCTTTTTTTTTAAAAGATAATATTTATTTTAGAGAAAGCATGAGCAGGAGGGGCAGACTGAAAGGAGAGAATCGGAAGCAGACTCTGCACTAAGTGCAGAGACCGACTCAGGGCTCAATCTCACAACCCTGAGATTACAACCTGAGCCAAAATCAAGAGCCTGTCTCTTAACTGACTGCACCATCCAGGCGCTCCTGGAGTCATAAACACTCTTATTATTGCCTTGTATTTAATTTTCAGTCATTTCAGTAGGAATGGCTGCTAATTCAGGTCTTATGTAGTCTATCTTTTTTGCAGGAGATTTTTAAAAAATGACTATTGTATTTGTCGATTTTCATGTAGTTCTAGATTGACAAGATCTTTTAAATTTTTTTTTCAGATTGTTAACCTAAAGTTGGGGGATATATGTACCTTAAAATTCTTCAGTTCCATTGAAATCAATGACATTTTGAAATAAGAAGGGCTAGTACAGAGTTCTGTGACTAAAGGTCTTGTCTCTTCACGTAAAAAGCCATTTTTAGTAATTTCCCAGTATAGCAGTTTTATGGTTGTACAGCCAGCTATAAATCCAGCTATATAGTTTATTAGCTTAATTTTTTTTTCTCATTTTGACCTGAAGGTAATTGTGGAAGAGTGTTTCAGATGTTTTGAAGAAAATAAGATTTACCAAGTATTATAGTTATAATAGACCTATAATAGTATTACTGTTTGATACTGTATTATTATTAAAAAATGATCAGTGATTATTCCTAATGAATTAATGCTATATGCTACACATTTTTACTTTCCCTCCTAAGGGCCTACAATCCATTTACTTAATATTTTGTTTTTAAAATTTAGAAGGTTTTGGTCTTTGGTTGTAGAATCCACCTCTTCTTGTTTTTTGAAAATTCAGAGTACATTTATTTGTTTTCAGTAATGGGAATTCCTTTGCATGCTCTGTGATTACTTGGACTGGTTAAAGATGGAGAATATTTTCATGATGATATCCCTAAGTTCTTCGAGTTTTATGCAATATAATTTGTTGGGTCTATAGGCAATGTTTGTTTAAAACATTGTTTTTGTATTTGGTTAGCAGATCTATTGTCATGGAATGTGACAGCATTTAAATAGGAAAATCTATGAGAAAATATGCAGTTGTGACACATAGTAGGTGTTTCAGTAGATGCCCCTTCCTTGCTTTTTTTCTTTGTTAGCATTAAACCATCTGCCCCAAAGAACTGGCCTTTGCTTTTTTCTGACAGCTCTATTTGCATACATAAGTCTTAGAAATAAGTTGTTTTTGTGTGACTCTGTTGGTATTATATTTCTTTCATATATATACACACACACACACACATACTATATACATGTTTGGGACTATATGTATGTTCCAAACTATCTCAAAATTTTTCCCATTTGAATATGTATGCTAGAGATTTTTTCAGTTAGAATGATGATACATGGTTAATACAAACATGCTCTGTGATTCCATTGTATAAATGTGAGAAGACCCTAACACTGAAATGAAGTAGTCTCTAAAAATTTCTGCTTAATAGTTAGATGGTTTAATCTATGATATACCTGAAATTCAGAATTATTTGATAATTTATAGAAATTAATTTGTCAAGTGACATGTGCTAGGCTAAGTACTTTATATCAGTATTTCATTTAATTCTCACAACAGTTATGAAATAGGAATTATCCTCATTTTATAGAGGAGGAAAATAGATTTAGGGGTAAAATATCTTACTCAAGGTTATATAATAGAAGGTGGTAGAACTAGGATTTGAACCAGGTCTACTTTGAAAATTTATGCTCTTAAACTACTTTATTTAGTTATTTATTTTTTTTTAAGATTTTGTTTATTTATTTGACAGAGAGAGCGAGATAGAGAACACAAGCCAGGGCAGTGGGATGGGGAGAGGCAGGCTTCCCGCTGAACAGGGAGCCTGATGCGGTGCTCGATCCCAGGACTCTGGGATCATGACCTGAGCCGAAGGCAGATGCTTAACGACTGAGCCACCCAGGTGCCCCTGCTCTTAACTACTTTAAAGGAAATAATCTCAGCATCATTTATAACATTGTTCTATTAAATAAATGTGATTCACAGTATGGAAGTCTACTTATCAGTCTTGGAAATTTGTTACCTTCGGACCTCTCTTCATCTCAGATGTAGCATTATCTCTATTGCTGGGCTCAAGGTGGTTTTGGGACTACTTTCCTTCTATAAAGAAGGATTCTCTAGCAATAGGCAGTTTTGGGAACATGTTTTATTGCCTTACCTTTGACCCTCTTCCCTTTCCTCTGCAGAGTGGTCCAGCCTTTCATACGCGGGTATTTGTGAGTTAGGTATTTGGAATTCCTGCATTATTGGCATTTATTTTTAAAAGGCAATAGGATCATATACATTTTTATTTATTAAAAGGTATATATTTTTTAGGCAAAATGTTTTTGAAAATAATTGAACTATATATACCAGTAACATTGTTTTTTTAAAAACTAAGTATTTAAACAAAATTATAACAGGTTATAAAAATGAATCGTTTAAAATGTTAATTGTAGGGCAGGCATCTGTTGCTTATGTTGGAATGTTACTCTTTTTTGTCTTTCTTACTTGCTGTATTCTGTCCATGTCTTTGTTTTTTATAAGTAAAGGAGATACATTAAAAATATCTGTGCTTTGGTTATTACATTGAAAATATTAGAACGCAAACTGAATTTTAGTAGAAGAAAGTTACTAAATTTAATTACTTTTTTTGTTTCTTACAGTGAACCTTGCACTTGCACTAGCAGCGAATGATTCGGTAGGTGTTTATTAATAAAAATATTAATTGATTAAAATGTTTTTTAAGGAAATGATAAAGAGCATATTTTTCATTTACTCTGTCAGGGGCTATGTAGTGTAGCTGTAGTCCCTTGCATTTCTTTAAGGAACTAAGAAATCTGCTATAAGTACTGAGTACATCTAATGATAATGATGAAAATGGAAGGGGTCAAAGAATTCAGGCAGTGTTTAGAAGGTAGAGAAGGCAAGGAAATGGATTCTTCCTTAGAGCTTCCAAAAGATATGTAATTCTGCCAACACCTTAATTTTAGCTCATTGAAACCCATTTTGGACTTCTGTGATAACTTCTCACAGTAGAAATAAGAAATAAATATGGATGGGAATTCAGTTTTCTTAGTTCTTAAATTTCCAAAGATGTCTTTATTTTGCCTTTGTATTTGATTTGACTAGATGTAGAATTCCAGGTTCAAAATAATTGCATCTCTGAACCTTGTAAACGACATTCCTTTTTCTTCTCATGCTAATGAAATGTCTGATGCTAGTCTGATTCATATTGCTTTGTAATAACCTGTGTTTTTCCCCTCCAAGCTTTTAGAGTTTTCTTTATGTCTTTTAAGTTTAGAAATGTCACAAATATGCGTCCAATTGTTGACTTCAAAATTTTTTACCTGGTTGGAAATTAGCCAGGCAGTATCAAGGTTTGAAATTTCTTCCTTGATTACTTAAGTGGTATGTTTGTTCTGTCTCCAGAAACCTATTAGATAGCTATTAACCCTTTATGCTTGTTAATTTGTCTCTCATAATCTCCATCTCTTTGTCTTTTGCTGTATGTTTTGGAAGATGTCTTAGGCTATTTTCCACACTGCTTTGTTGGGTTTTAGTTGTTATTTAGCCCTTTGATTTTTATTTTTAAATTCAGGAATTCTATGTTTTCCAGGTTTCTAGAACTCTTTGTTATTTTACAAATACTGGAAAAACAATGGCTGTATCATTCGTTTGAATCTCTCTGAGGATGCTAATTAAAATTTATTAAAAAATTGTTCCTTTTAATGATCTCTGTTTACTTAGCATGGTGGTTCTTATAATGTGGTCCTCAGACCAGCAGAATCATCATCACCTGGGAACTTGTTAGACATACAAAATCTTGAGCCCATCCTAAACCTAATGAATCAGAATCCATGAGGGTGGAATCCTGCAGTCTGTGTGTGTGTTTTTTATACAACCTATTTTTAATTTGATTTAATTTATTTTTTATTTTTTAAATTATTATGTTAATCAGCATACATTACATCGTTAGTTTTTGATGTAGTGTTCCATGATTCATTATTTGCGTATAACACCCAGTGCTCCATGCAGAACGTGCCCTCTTTAATACCCATCACCAGGCTAACCCATCCCCCACCCCCCTCCCCTCTAGAACCCTCGGTTTGTTTTTCAGAGTCCATCGTCTCATGGTTCATCTCCCCCTCCGATTTCCCACCCCTTCATTCTTCCCCTCCTGCTATCATCTTTTTTTTTTTTTTTAACATATAATGTATTATTTGTTTCAGAGGTACAGATCTGTGGTTCAACAGTCTTGCACAATTCACAGCGCTCACCATAGCACATATGCTCCCCAATGTCTATCACCCAGCCGCCCCATCCCTCCCCCCCCCCGCCACTCCAGCAACCCTCAGTTTGTTTCCTGAGATTAAGAATTCCTCATATCAGTGAGGTCATATGATACATGTCTTTCTCTGATTGACTTATTTCGCTCAGCATAACACCCTCCAGTTCCATCCACGTCATTGCAAATGGCAAGATTTCATGATGGCTGCATAATATTCCATTGTATATATATACCACATCTTCTTTATCCATTCATCTGTCGATGGACATCTTGGCTCTTTCCATAGTTTGGCTATTATGGACATTGCTGCTATAAACATCGGGGTGCATGTACCCCTTTGGATCCCTACATTTGTATCTTTGGGGTAAATACCCAGTAGTGCAATTGCTGGATCATATGGTAGCTCTATTTTCAACTTTTTGAAGAACCTCCATACTGTTTTCCAGAGTGGCTGCACCAGCTTGCATTCCCACCAACAGTGTAGGAGGGTTCCCCTTTCTCCGCATCCTCGCCAGCATCTGTCGTTTCCTGACTTGTTAATTTTAGCCATTCTGACTGGTGTGAGGTGATATCTCATTGAGGTTTTGATTTGGATTTCCCTGATTTAATTTAATTTTTTACTGAAGTGTATTCAACATACAGTGTTATATTAGCTGGAATCTGTGTTCCAACCAGCCCTAGAGATGATTTTGATGCATGCTAATGTTTGAGAATCATGGATCTAGAGTTTGTGAAAACTCTTGTCTGTTGATGGCATCCTTTTTTGTTTTCTAGTGTGGTTATGTTTTTTATTTAGTTTTAAACCGTTTCTTCTCTTGTTTCAATGGGAATTTGGAGAGAAGAGAGATAATCGTGTGTTTAGGCAGCCTTATTGAAGTAAGAGCCAGTAATACATTTTTAAAAATAATTTTTATTAGGGCACTTGGTTACCCTGGAGAAGAGACTCCATCTTCCTTAAAGAAGGGAGGAAACAGGGAAGATTCAGTGGATGGGAAGGTAGATAATTTTTAGGTGTGGGGATCTTTTAAGTTGGTATCATTTCAGCCAAAGCTTTGAGTCTTAAGTCAGTATGAAGCAACGGTGTAATAAGGGATCAAAAGAGGAAAAGAATGGTTAAAAAGGGGTTGATTCCTTCATGTTAAATATTGCTAGTCTTTTTTTTTTTTTAAGGTGTTTTGAATTTATTTGATAGAGCACAAGCAGGTGGAGCAGAAGACAGAGGGAGAGGGAGAAGCAGGCTTTTTGCTGAGCAGAGAGCCTGACCTGGGGCTTGATCCCGGGACCCTGGGATCATGACCTGAGCCGAAGGCAGAGGCTTAACTGACTGAGCCACCCAGGTGCCCCAAATATTGCTAATCTTGATGAAATGATAGCTCAGAAATTTTTTTTTGTGTTTCTGTGTTTGTTTGTTTTCTTTTTCTTCTTTCAGGGAGCAGGGTTGAAAGCAGATTCATCTTTAGTGCTTTATATGTATGACAGGGAAATTGGCAACAAGAAAGGAAAAGCAGTAACACTTTACCTGGCTCATTTCTTCAGAAGCCTTTAGTATCGTTAAGTGTTTTTAAACATGTTTGTAAAATCTTCCTTAGGAAGGTCTTTAGTATTCTGTGATCCTGATAAGGAGTTTTTTGTTTTTTATTTCTTGATTTTTTTTTTTTTTTAAGCAAAGTTAGTGTTTTTGATTCAGGACTAGTATGTTTGGCTTAAACTGTGCTTTGCCAGAGGACAACTTGCATACAGAAAAGAAGAGCTATATGTGTTCTATATGATTTATATGTATCTGGCATAGTTTTGTACTCTGTATTTCCCAACTTAAGATTTTATTAATATTATACTTATTTGGAGGACATGTTTGGTCCTTAGGGGAAGCTCATGTTTCCTCCCAGCCCTTCTATTTGCTTGAGTTGATATGGATGGCCAGGATATGTCTCTTTATGGGGTTAAAAACTCCAGTTAGGATGGTGTCTTTGGAGCCTCTCCAGTGATTCATTCCCAGGGAGTCTTCATTCTGTGGAGTTTGTATTATAAAAGAGGTCTCTGATTTGCTTTTCTGTAGGCCATTTTTGTTCAAGACCTTGCTAACGTTTACCTCCTTTCTTTTCCATGGTTGGTACTTGCCCTTTTTCAGCATTGGAATAGGAAGATCCAGGTCCAGGAAAGGGAAACAGGACCAGGAAGCTATTCATTTTACTTTGGATATTGACCTTAGTAATCTCTAAACTAGACTGTAAACTGCAGGGGTGTGTGTAAGATAGTCCATTGGGATGTAGGAGGGAAATTTTTCTTTTCCATTTGTATTAATTTTTATCTTTTAAAATTTATGTTTTTTTGTGTATGTTTTATAATTTGTACTATGTTAGTATATATAGTCTATATAGTAGCTGCAATGTAACTTATAAACAAATATATTAACATATATTGGGCATATATTTTTAAACATTTTTTACTGATTGGAGTGCATGATCAGAAAATTTCAGATGTCACTAGCCTAGGCAAAAGGAATTTTGGGCTGGATCGGATGCCCAGTTTAAAAGAAGACTACTTTATAGATTGAGGTAAAGGACTTATGGGAATAGGGTGTGGATTTTCCCTTTTCCTTGTCTTTTGTACTTTTCTTTGCGGATGTAGAAGGTAGTAATGCAGAGCAGAGTTTGAGATCATGTATGCTATGCATCTGAATATTGCATCTAGTGATTTGTTGGAGCTGGCTTATGCTTGTTTGTGAGGGCCAATTGTTAAATTTTCAGGAATTTGGGAAGTAGTTGATATCATGTTGTTACCATGAAATAGGCCATGGTGGGAGTATTTAAGCCATGGAAATTGGCAAATATTGAAAATCAGACACCCCACCCCACCCAGAGCCACTTGTTAAACATTTCCTGGCACACCATAGGTCATATATATTGACAATCATATTTTTTGATTTTTCTTTTTTTAGTTTTTTTTTTTTTTTAGAGAGGGAGAGGGACATAGTGTGGGGAGGGGCAGAGAGACAATCTTAAGCAGGCTCCACACCCAGCGCAGAGCCCGATGCGGGGCTGCCGAGATCATGACCTCAGCTGAAATCAAGAGTCTGGTGCTTAACCAACTGAGCCACCCAGGTGTCCCCTTTTTTCTATCTTCTTAACCATATCATGGATCTCATTCTTTTACAGTATAAATTTAATAAACAGTGAGAAGAGCACTGAGACTGGGAGAGGGAAACATAAAGACTACCAGAAATCATTGATAAGCTTTGTGAGATTCCTGTCAGTTCAGTTCATTTTAGTCCAACAAATATTTGAGTACCTATAACACTCATTGCCAGACACCCTGGGAATATAAGGAAAAGTAAATGTGCTGTGGGAGTTCACAGCCTAAGACTACATTCACAAAACAGTGTTGTGTATGTGTATATGTATTTATATAAG